ATGTCATAATTTATTGGATGAGTTTCAGTTGCTACAACCCGAGGATGTGGACAGGGTGCTTGGATCGGTTTGTGCCACCACTACGCAACTCGAGCCCAGCCCATCATAGCTAATACAGGAATCTGCCAGGGGGGTTCGCACCTGGATCCTGGAGGTCATCAACTCCTTGTTAAGAGAGGGAGTGGTCCCCGCCCTGTTAAAGGAGACAGTGATTCGCCCACTCCTTAAAAAGCCTAATCTGGACCCAGGTCTAATGATCAACTACTGACCAGTGGCAAACCTCCCTTTTCTGGGCAAGGTGTTGAAACGTGTGGTGGATGAGCAGCTCCAGGCTCTCCTGGATGAAACGAATTATCTAGATCTATTTCAATCGGGTTTCAGGCCAGGTTATGAGATGGAGACTGCCTTGGTCACCCTGTTTGATGACCTTTGCCGGGAGCAAGACAGGGGAAATGCATCCCTGTTGATTTTCCTGGACCTCTCAATGGCTTTTGACACCATCAAACATGGTGTCCTTCTGGACAGATTGGCTGGAATGGGAGGCATCATTTTATGATGGTTCCGCGCCTACCTGGCTGATTGAGTCCAGAAGGTGATGCTGGGGGACAGTGGCTCTGATCCATGGCGGTTGTGTCAATATTTACATGAAACCACTGGGGGAGGTCGTTAGGAGGTTTGGGCTGAGGAGTCAACAATATGCTGACGAAACCCAGGTCTACCTCTCATTTTCTACCAATCCAGGTGTGGCAGTCACCGTTCTGAACCCGTGCCTGTACTTGATAATGGACTGGATAAGGGTCAATAAACTGAGGTTCAATCCAGACAAGTTGGAAGTGCCGCTGGTAGGTGCTCCGCCAGATAGGTTAAAGGGCCATTTCCCTGCCCTAGACGGGGTTACATTCCCCTAAAGGACAGGGTCCACCGCTTGGGGGTGCTCCTTGACCTGGGTCTGATCTTGGAAGCCCAGGTGGACTTGGTGTCCAGGGGTGCCTTCTTACAGCTTTGGAGAATATATCAGCTTTGCCCTTACCTGGATGAGTGGAGCGTGACAACATTCACACATGCACTGGTAAGAACCAGACTGGACTACTGCAATGCACTATATGTGGGGCAGCCTTTGAAGACGGTCTGGTGACTGCAACTGACACAGAACTGGGCTGTGCGGCTAGTAAGTGGTGCTGCTGCATGGACTCATATCATGGTGGTTCTGAAAAATTTACACTGGCTGCCAGTTGCTGTTCGGGCCCAATTCAAAGTGCTTATTTTGACACATAAAGCCCTAAATGGCCCTGGATACCTGAAGGACCGCCTCCTTCCATATGAGCCTACCCAGCAGTTAAGACCTGGCCAGGGGGCCCTTTTGAAAGAGCCGTCCCTCAAGCAGGTAAGAGGGATGGCTTGTAGACAAAGGGCTTTTTTCCGCAGCTGCTCCCAGACTATGGAATGCCTTCCCGACTGAGATTCATTTGGCACCGACACTGATGACGTTTCAGCACCAGGTCAAAACCTTCCTGTTCCAGGAAATAATATCAACTGTGGATGCTGATGGCAATTTTTAGGGTATCTATTTTAATTGTATTTAAATTGTTTTATCTTTTTATTGTATTTTTTATCATATTTTAATTGTTGTAAGCTGCCCAGAGACCTTTGGGTAGAGTGGGCGGCATATAAGTTAAATAAAATAAAATAAAATAAATAAAATCAATTCTTAACCAGCAGAAATATGCCAGTCTGAGAGAACCAGCTACTTCAATCTGTGCTAAATGAACAATCTAACCAACGTTGTGACTGGGAAGCTTCAGCCCCTCTCCACAAAGAATTGCAAATTTCTCCAACTAGATGTCCTAGAGACTATAGAAGGCCTGAGGTTTGCATTATGCTCAGTGTGAGTTTGCTGGGATGTGGTACAAAATAATCATCCAACTGGTGGAAGCTACTGCCACTTTTACTTTACCAAGGTGCTTCCATGTATTTTCTTTAATAAGAGGAGCCTGGATACATTCACAGGATGGATGCAAATAGCAATGTATGTACATTACCTGGTGTGTTTTGTAGAAGAACAGACAGAAATTGGTAAATACCACCCATAATTTCTGCCATCCATTACTGTTCTTGAATTTCCTCAGCAGGTACCCTGATAACTGGTTCTATATAGAAGAGGGAAAATATGATATGAGAAGCTGAGATCAGTACACATATTCTCTAACAGCTGAAGCTCTAGTGGTACTCCATAGAATGATAAAAATGGATTACTCTTCTTAGAATGTGATACAGTACTCTTAAATTAAGAAACACTGTGGTCACTTGCTGTTTCAGAGTCTCTTTTCATAATTAGATCTCTTGTGTAAGAAGCGTACAAGTAATGCATATTTGGTGGGTTTTTATACTTTTAAATGCCCCTTATTTGCTCCAGAGTGAGCATCAGTTACCTACATAATTATCATACAGAAGTGAGTGGGTAACACAGGAACCCACTGGACAATATCTATGAGGGAATTAGTGGTTGACTAAAAAAAGTCTAACCCCACTCCATGATGGCATCCTTTTGAAATTTAATTTAATCTCTTAATTTCTTTGTGACTTTGTGCTTTCCACTATGAAGCTGCAACTCTGAAATACTACTCCAGCACACAGTATTTATTTTTTAGTGACAGAAAGTAGCAAATCTGTCTTGCTCCTTTTAATTTTTAATTTACGTATGTTGGGTTCTCGGAGACATTGCATTCTTGAATTCAGAATTCACATCCATTCAGGTTTTTATAAAGTAAGGAGAGGGCTGACACATCTTCAGTCATTTCTCTACCTCAGCAAAGCACTCTTTCCCTGTATGTCAAATTCAGACACAGTATTCTATTATTTCAATTGCATCTGGACTTGTGGAAAGACAGGATTACAATGTGATTTGATCCATGCTTTGTTTGATCATACAGAGAGACTCTTAAAAAGTACTAATACATTCCCCCTATATACATAAACAGTTTATTGCCCTTTTTCACAATGATAAATACATGTATTCTCTATTTTTAAAAAATTTGGACAGGGCAGGAAAACTGTAAACACAGTTATTCCCCAAAGGAGAAGAGCACAATCATCAACACACCAAATTCCCCACCCTTTTTATTTCAGTTTGTCATCCAGCCCCAACAACGCACTAAAAGCTAGTAAGTAACACAGGCATGCCAGGTTCTGTTAATGAGACAATGCAGTTGGAAAAGACAAAACAGTGTCAGAAAGGAAAGCATAGAGTAAAAGAACTAGGTGAAGGCAAGGCTCTACAAAACACACAGTAGCAATGTCCCATTTAAAAAAAAATCATAAACGGATGCCTGGGCAACACTGGAGGAAAAACTAGTCTGCTACGATCAAATCTACAGGATAAATTAAATCACCTTAAATGGTATGAAATGACACTGTGTTCTGGGCCTTCTTGTATGATAAACTAAAGGGATTTATTGGTCTGAGTTTCACAGCAGACTTGAAGGATTTCTTACCACTGGATCATTATATTAGATCTGCACATTAGAATGATGTTTTAAAGAGCACTCAAATGGAGATGGTATACATAGGAGGTGATGGTCTACACAGATCATCCTATCAAAATGGGGAGTGGAAGAATTAGCTTTACCTGAATCATGCACAGATAGTCAGACAGGGATAGGCTCTGGTTCCGGTACCAGCAAACATGGGTGATTGTGTTGGGCCGTTGAGTCTGGCCCAGCAGATAGCGAGGAGGAAGCTCTGGAGAAACAGCAAGAGAGCAGAAAACTGAGCAGAGAGGGGGGTACAGGGTAGAAAGAGAAAGAAGAAGAGAGATTTAGAGAAAAGAAGGGACAGTGCTTGCAAAGGTTCATGGAAAACAGTATGTGAAGATGCCGTGAGGTTCAATGGTCTAAGATCTTGGTGAAAGCAGTGACAGTGCTTTGGGAAGGAAGCAAGAAAACTAACAATTTTACTGAAGGTACCATTCGCTGAAGAGAAAGATTTAGTTGTGGAAAAGAACATTACTTTTGACTTCACACCTCCACACTGGACTGCTTTATTAGCTTTTTTGAGGTGAAAATGGCAGCCATGAATAAATGAAGCAACTGTTAAGCATGGGAAAGTTTTGTTGTGCCTTGTCAGATGTAAAATATAGTCCAGAACCTTTAATATCAAAGTCCAGGCAAGTATGAAAATACATCTGCATGGGAGAAACATTCAAAATGGCTTTGACAACACAATGTTGTATGGATTGGGTTTTGTTTTTGGTTTTTTTGGGTGGGGAGCTTTTATTTTAACATGAAAGAATCTTGTCAAAAGTGCATGACAACTGAAGGCAAAGAGAGGTATTAGTGGATTCCTTAAAAGTCCTCTCCCATCTCAAAATGGTCTAAGAACCAAGTCTTGATCCTAAATCAAGATGTATGCCTGCCTCAAGTCCAAACATAAAAAAATGAAGAGATCCCCAACAATGTATAAGGCTATGCATTAGTAGCAGCAGAGTGGAATGTGGCACACACTTCCACAAGCTGTGTGATCAGTTTTGTATGTATGTGAGAAAGGCTTCTGGGTTATATTCTGCAATTTACAGAACTAGCAAAACCACAGTGATATGGATTCAGTGGTGGCCGAGAGGCTATGTGGAGACTCAATGCTCCTTGAGATAACATATGCAATGAATAATTATTACATAAAAATCAAATGCGACCACATCTTTCAAAGACAATACAGAGATATATAGAAGCAACACATCCACCATTTCTAGGAGGATGCTTTGAATCTGGGTCCTGCACTCTTGAACTCATTCTTATGTATATGAGTGCATTCATTTGTCCTCTGCTGAACGAAAAGACATGTAAGACCTGTTTAAAAAGGGCTAGTGACGGCCTCTTTTCTCTTTCTACTAGCAGTTCTGTCTATGAAAGGACTTTTTATCTCCTCCTGGAAAGCACCTTGAGTCAACATGTCTGTTGGTCTAAAAGGTAGCAACAAAATTCCCGTTACAACAGTTATATTGACTAGCAATCTATTTTCTGGCAAAATTCAAAGTGCTGGCTATGAGAATAAATAAAGTCCTATATGACTTGGGTCCAAGTTATCTAAAGGACCATATTTGCCCATATAAAGTTCATGCCTGGCTTCTGAGATTTTTAAGGAAGCCCTGCTCTTGTTCCTGCTACCTTCACACATGTGTTTAGACATAGGGGAAGCCTTCTTGGTTGTGGATTTCCTTGTCAAGGAAGCTAGGGCGGCCCTTCCCTGTTGTCCTCCTGCTGGCACAGATTTTTATTTCTTCACGCAGGTTTTTGGCAACAGACTGACTGCTAAGGAAGGCAAATCTAAACAGCTGGTGCTCATTTTAATTTTCTTTTAAAGTGCTTTTAAAATTGATAATGTTTTAATACTACAATTTAATTATGTTTTAGCATTATAACTTCTCTTTATATCTGCTTTTATTTGTAATTATTTTAAATTTTGCTTTAAGCTGCCTTGAGTCCCTCTTCTGGGAAAAAGGTGGGATATAAACCAAACAAGCAACCCCCCCCCAAAAAAAAACCCAAGAAGTCTATATCCCTTAAAAACCCCATAAGGAAGAGTATATCAAAATACGCAGGTATCATGCAGAGGTGGTACTACTAAGGGACAGAGATAAGTGACAAGACATCATCTGGGCCAACAGTGCCAGGTTATAACATTACGGTCTCCAAAATGTTATGTTACAGCAAAGATCACCTCTTCCAAGTAACAGTTTGGGCACACAGTAAGAGAGAACACCATGCAACTCCAAGCTAATAAGCCATAGGACAGAAGAATATTGTGCAGAAACAGAACACAAAACCCAGCAGAGAATTTTGGAGACTCAGACAAGACAGACTGTTAGGTTCTCCCTTCATTTTTCTTTCCTCAAAGCACCACTTCATTGAGAACATGATGGCAACATGCAGGTGCACACAAAGAATATTTTCAAACATGTAGTCACCCATTCATTTTCTCTCATATGGGCACTGACGTGACAGAAGGTAATGAAGGGGGTGGTAGTTAAAACCTCACATAGGTATACAGTGCAGAAAAACCAGCAACCAAGACAGACAAGAGTGGCAAGTGAGAGGGGTGCATGCTCTGCTGCTGGATACCTCGACGGCCACACTGTGATCAGTCATGGAGACACTGGTGTTGCGGTACCAGCACACATGCATAGTAGTATTGGCACGGTGGTGACTCTGCCTGTCCAGGGAACTACGAGAAGAATGTATGTCCTCTTCGGACTCCTGTTCTAGAGAAACCTCATCTGAGGATCCTGAGGGAGGAGAAGGGAGCAACATTTAACAGGCTGTGGTACATGGATAGTGCTAGTGGCATGAGTCCCTCACTATATTAACATCTTCCATTTGAAAAAGGAAATAGCATGCACAGGTTACTCTGATTCTGGCATCCACGGCTTTTACAATTCAGAGTCTGATGAAATATACAGCATTTCAGAGTCAATACACTGGAAAAACTAGACTTTATTTTGTATAGAAGTATAAAATCTTTGCTTGGAAACGTCCCACCTAAATCTTGCAGAGACAGAAGAGAAACCTAGGGAATAAATAACTGTGACCAGAGGAATGCCACAAGGTACTTCAAGACCTTGTAAAGGGATCCCACTGATATGGGAAGGAAGTCAGGAAAACACAGGAAATGAACGTTGGTTCAACAGAATCCCTAGATTGGAAAACAAAGTGTGGTTTACAGGGATGGATATTTTCCAATATAAAGGGTGGAAAGGAAGATCACACACCACAAAAATTCTTACTATTACTTTAACAGCTGGAATTTCTTATTTGCCAAGCCTTAAGTAACTGGAGCATCAGGGAGCATATGGAAGCTTATTTAGCTGAAAACATCTGTAGGCGGCATAGTCTATACTGTTTATATCTTAAAGAAACATATAGAGTGTATCATTAGCCTACAAGCACAGTGTACAAGTGACACAATACTACTCACTGTTAGAACGACTGCATAGGGAATTTTCTAGAAACATGTCTGATTTCTCAGTGGTTTTCTTAGCCATTTCAATGGCCACATTGAGGTCTTCCATCCATTTCCCCATTTCGAGACGCGTGCTGCAAAACACATAACAAACTGATGGCCAAGGATAAAACTTCCTGTGCTCAGTTGCAGTGTATGATTTGCAACTCAAGAAAAACCACTGCTTGATCATTATTTAGAGCAATTCTATGTACCTTCATAAAAAATTCACAGAGATAACAAAAGCAGCAATCTAGTAACTGCAAAAGCTTGTCTTAACAAATGTAGCTTCTACAAATATTCAAGTATTAAAAACCACAGAATATTTTCAGGATTTTTTTTCATTCTTTGGAGTCACATTAGGGTGAAAAGACAAAACATACTGATATGCATGGACAGATTTCAATGGTGAGGGTGCAGGATACAACTGCATCTCCTAGGTTTTGGCTGAAGTTCCACTGCAGGCTAAAAATGTGCACCTCACCAGGTTAGTGTGTCAAGACTGAAGAGAAGAGTCATCTCGAAGCCTCCCCTCCTTAGCTTGGAACAAAGACCAGTGTTATATGTGTGTACACCTTCAATATCATTGAAAGACCTCTTTCATCTCTACCTTTTCATAAATGAATACTGAGAAACTGCTTACCTGGCTGCCACTACTATGGTTTTTTGAGCAGAATAGATTGTGAAACAATGAGGGACAGACCATTCATTTTCACTCTCTTCCACCTGCAACAAGATAAACATGCATCATTGCCCAGGGAGTGATGGTACACCCATCTCTAATTGTGAGTGGAAAGAAACAGCTTGATGACAGCAATAAATCTGCATGTCAGCTATTTTTAAAAGCACTGGCAATTTACATCTAATTAGCTTCTAGTGGGAAAACTATCAACTATAATTACATTACCACTTCAATTGTTGGTAAATATAGTAGCCAATGTGCTCACTAGCTTACTACTCACCGGAGGATCCAGCACTATCAGCTGAAAATTAAACACAGACACACACAAAGGTTTCATTAAGGAGGGAGAGGAAACAGTGCTTTTGTGTGGAAGTGACATCAGTTAGCACATCCATATAGCCTTGAGAATAGTAATCCCACAAGTAAGAGTACAGCCTTAATTTTCTCAGTTTCTCTGTTGCCAGAAAATAGACAATGCCTGTTTTTCCCATTATCTCCAACACAGACAAAAATGCATATAAACACCCACAGAAAATTGCCACAGCATGCAGGAGGACCCAACCCAATCTAAACATTCAATTACAGAGCTCAGGTTAATCTGACACATAACCAATGTTCTTCAGTTTTAATAGCTGGCTACTATGTGAAGAACCACTTACCAGCATGCCATGCAGAGAGAGGTGGCCGTGAATTTTAAATTGGTTGGTACCTGTGACTCCTTTACTTGTGTAGAGCAACATATCTGAAAACTGAGGCACAGACATATTGTCAACAAAAGTTTACTATCCTCTTTTACTATTTGAAAAAAAGCTCTTTCATTATAGCTCCTTTATTTGTATACCACTTTTCTGCTTAGTTCAGCTCACAGTGTTTACAATACAGGATAAAAGAAGCCAAGAAAAACATACATCATTATTCACTATCTGTAGTATCAAAAAAAGTTACTTCAAGCTGAACCAGTTTTAGAAATTTACTGTAATGAAACAAACTAGTATGTTGCAACAGACTATTATGCAGTAACACTTTTTATATACAAAGTTATTCTCAGCAAATATTCGATTCACACACAACTACAAAACTTTCTAAATTAAGAAAAAAATACTTGAAAATTATGTTCAAGTATTTTCAGGTACGTAATTAAGACCGAAGCTATTTCATAAAAGGCCCCCAAGATAGTATTCCTGGGAACTACTTAAGAAACAGGCAGTGAGACAGGTAAACACCCACCAGCAAATCAAGAAAGTCTACTCTGTTTCCATCAGAGTACACAGAAACAAGCCTTGGAGAAACTAATGTGTTTCTGACCTGTGCAGTTGCCCACCTCTATGGAAGGGGTTTGCATTCTACTGAAACCCCTGTTTACAATCTGTTTATAAAACATCAGAGAGGTTTTACATAAAAATTGCATTCCCATCAGCAAACTGCATGAGACAATGTACAGCAAAGCTATTTCTAGGAATGCCAGTACTTTCACTGCAAGATAATATTATTGTGAGATACAATCTCGAGCAAAGACTTCAACTCACCAGAAAGAACATCCTTTGCTGTAAACCCTTTTTTGTCAGCTTGTATAAGCAGCCTTCTCGGATAAACTCCTATTTTTAAAATTACACTGGGTTTTAGTATTCTTGAAATAAATCAATTTCGATGCATTTTCAGTCTTCTACAAAATATAGCATCCTCTAGCTATTTCCATTCACACTTTAAGTGAAAAAGTAATGCCATGTTGTGTGGTGAAAGAGTTCCACAATGCGAACGGTCAGTTTACATTTAGCTAGAAAAAGCATGTAGCCCAGAAGAATGTATGTATTCAAAACTACTAACATTTAACAAACTGGCTACTGAACTAGCATATGATTAGCATCACTATAAATTACAAGAGCTCCACTTCTGTTATAAGGTATCAGTGAACAATAGCTTTTAAAGCTCTTTATTGATGCCATGCACAAGTAGGAGCGTGGAGAGCCTATCCCATAACGAAACAGGCACTCTCACTGCTGGGATTCCTCCATGGTGAGTCAGTACAAGCAGCTTGCATGACAACGCATTCATCAGCTCTGTGCTAGTCCTTGGAATCTCTACAGAGCAGCACAGACAGAAGCACTGAAAATACGTTCCTGATAATTCAATTGAGAGCCCTTCAAAGAGCCATTTTCGGTGAGGGATTTCAAGATTCATGACAGCAAAACAATCTCACCTCAGAATGGTCAGATAATGAGCAATTCTGAAATATGTTTGTGGAAAGAACAGCTCAGGTTTTTTTTTTACTAGCTCTAAAATAAAGCAATAAAACTTCCAAAGCCATCAATCAATTTAGGAATCAAATAAGCAAAACAAATAATGGGCAAGATTAACACATACTATAGAAGGCTTAACTCTAAACTAAAAAAGAATTGCCTACTCTGCCAGCTGCTACAAGGTTATCAACGCCAAGCAGATCATGCTGTAACTCTGTCAGCTTCTGGAAATTCTCCAAGCGGATCAGGCTGTTTTGAAGCTGTGATGTCATTTCTGTGACTTCCTTCAATGCATCTGCAGATGAGAATCACAAAAAAAAACCAAAGCAACAGATCAGAGCAGCACCATCACCAAATGCATCTGCAGATGAGAATCACAAAAAAACCCCCCAAAGCAACAGATCAGAACAGCACCACCAACTACCAACCAATACTGTACAACTATTCAGAAAGTTGAGATACTACCACTGAGTTAAAGTTACAACTCAATACAATTGAGAAACTTAAGATGTAACATTGTTTGATTACTCAGTAATTACAACTTGCATATACACAAGGAGTTTATGTTAACTAACACATTGTGAGAAGCTGAAGACAAATGTATTTGAAAATGATTTGCACCACTACAACATAAACCATGCTTTTGACATACTATATGGCAATGTCTATTTGTATAATGCAAATAAAGTATACTAAGTTATCCATAGTTTGGTCACTCATGGCGAGTGGATCTCCATAAGCACCATAATGGCTTTTAACAGTAGGGACATTGCGGTGTGTATGACTCTAACTGGATCTCCATAAGCACCATAATGGCTTTTGACAGTAGGGACATTGCGGTATGACTCTAATAGCACTGCCTTCTGTTAACACAATACTGTTATGGGTACATGGCACACTGCCCTTTTTAGTCTGAAAGACAGTCACAGGGCTGAATGAGAGAATGGAAAGCTGTATGTGCAAATTCTGTAGATTTACAAAGAAGACAGCTCTGTGGTGGCATGTGTCATGATCATGGGATATGTGGTCAGAAATGTGCCATGATCATAGGATATGTACTCAGAGAAATGTAAAATGGACTCAGATAGGTTCTGTGTGAAGATGATTTGTGGGACTTTGGGATGTGTTCTTCTAAGCATCCTGAGAGTTTTCCTGAAGACTGTTACAGCCAAGCATCCAGATACAGTGGTGCCTCGCTTAACGAGCGCCCCGTTTAACGATGAATCCGCATACTGATGCGGATTTTGCGATCGCTTTTGCGATCGCATTATGATGTTGACAATGGGGGGAAATCGCTTTGCGATTTTTCCCCATAGCCCAATTCTCCCCCAGCTGAGCGGTGGGACTCTTCCGAAGCCACCACCTGCATTCCCCTTCGGAAGGGGCATTTTCCCCCAGCTCAGCGGGAGCCCCGCCGCTCAGCTGGGGGAAAATGTCGGCGGTGGCCTCGGAAGGACCCGGGAGCCACCGCTGACATTTGCCTTCCGAGCTCTCAAAGGGCCCCCCTCCGACATTGGAGAAAGCCCTTTGAGAGCTTGGAAGGCTCTCAGTGGCGGCGCCGCCCAGCTGGGGGGAAAGGCCGGCAGGCACTTGGGAAGGAGAGTGGAGATCCCCGCACTCCTTCCCGAGAGCCCACTGCCCAGCCGAGAGCCTGCCGCCCAGCTGGGGGGAAAGGCCGGCCGGCGCTTGGGAAGGAGAGTGGAGGAGGTCCCCGCACTCCTTCCCGAGAGCCCGCCGCCCAGCTGATAAGCGGTTCCAAAATGGCCGCCCGTTTCGCGCCTCGCTTACCGAGGCAGCGAAAATGGCAGCCCTATGGAGGATCTTCGCTGAACGGTGAGTTTTTGCCCCATAGGAACGAATTAAACAGGGTTTAATTCGTTCCTATGGGGTTTTTTGTTCCGTTCAGCAATGTTTCCGTATAGCGATGTTAATCCTGGAACGGAGTAACGTCGCTATGCGGGGCACCACTGTATCTTGAAGGCCATATCAAGAGGCCCTGGGAGACTCAACATTCCAAGCTTGATAGGGAAGACATAAACAACACCTGCACTCTCATGGGAATTAAGGGCGGAGAGAGGTGTTACAACCTCTAAAAAGTTAATTGATTGACAGCCGAATGGACCATGAAGAAGGGAGGAGTTTGGGAAGGTAGAAAATGGACAATGGGTTATGTGAATTGTGTTCAATGGTTTGTGTGTTGTTCTGATGTTGGATTTCTATTCCATGATGATGGGAGATAAAAGACTTGATTGAGAAAGGATGTAAGTAAGGAGAAAGAAGGAGGTGGGGCTAACCCCCCATAGCCCACTATAGCCTACTTTAGATTAGCTTTTAGAGTTTATTATTTTTAATGAGAAATAGTTATCTTATTTAACTGCAATGATCTTTGAATATGTTCTTAATGCTAATGCTTTTACAATATAAACTGATTTCTAATGAAACTTTATTTTTCTAATAAAAATTCATTATTAAAAATCCTTACTGAGGACTGGTCTCTTGAACAGCAGGGTCTGGCTACTTCCAGTAGTGAAGAGGGCCACAGATTCGCTATCATTTAAGAGTCCTACCTAACTGAGCTGTTGTGAGTTCTAAGGAATCATAAAGCCCATGAGTCTGTACTTGCAAAGTACTGAATAAATGCAAAATGTTCTTTTTAGGTCAGACTTGTTCAAAGGGCTTATGCTATGCACTGCTGACGTCTATGGACTCTATCCAGTGCAAAGGTGGTAGATAAGTGCAGGTCGAACTCTCCGGCTGAACGCCCAGCAACCTTTTAGGAGGCCGTGAGCACCACAGCATGAATGCTATATATATCATCTTTCTAGCCACCAAAAGCCTGCTTGGAACAGACACAAATGTAGCCACACACACAGCCCTCACAGTGCTGCCCTGTTGGCACAGCAGTTCAGCTGGAAGTCTGCAGCAAGCTGTGACAAGCACCTGGAGTAGCTCTACAGGTTGTGTAACTGCTGATGCAAGAAGAGGGTGTGAAAAGGAAGAGCAGTTCAGGGAGTGGGAAACTAGTCTTCCTTGCTCAGTATTTATTGGAAATGTTGGCACTACACATATGCTTCCATAGAAGAGAGGATATTGTTGCTGGAGCTACAAGAATTACAAAAAGAAAAGGAAAAGAAAGTTAAGAAAACAAGAGGGAGCAATAAGGCTAAGAACTGGGGCTGGAGTCCAAAGAATCACACAACCAGTTCAGCCCACCCAAAGAGGCTTGAGGTTGTATTTCAGTAACAGCAATCCCCAAAGCCATGGCACAGACAGCATGTGTCATATATGGGCCAAAGTATTGGAGTTTTGTTTCTTGTGCTCCAATGAATTATGCAAAATCAAGCATGTCTACATATGAATAATTATGATATTTTGGGTCTATGGATTCAATTCTCAAACTGATGCATCTACGAGTCTGAGTCTCATGTTGCACTGATGTATTTTTCAGAGGGCAGTGGAAAATAAGAAAGAGAAGAATTTGGAAGGAAGCATAAAATTTAATTCCACAGAGAGGAACATGGGACTGTGTAACACACTCAACTAATATCCACCACAGCTGTATTCTGCCCTCTGAGACAGTGACATTCGTATTTACAAGCTAATTATAATGATCCACAGGATGGTCATTTTTACCACATGGAAAAGATAGAGAATTGTGCTGGGCTTCAGCATTCTCCTTTTTTATGCAGTTATTAGACTATAATGTTTATTGTAACCATTAATTAGAACTAGAAAAATCCTTAGGTTAATGTTGAGATAATTATGAACTGCATTAGTCTTAAATGCCATAGCATTTAATCCCACAGTTCTCTTATTCAATTTTCAAAACAAAACAAAAAAATTACAAAAACTTCAAAGTGCATTGGCTGGAGTACCATGCCTATAGGTGAACTGAAATATACCTTTCCCATATTATCTATTAAATGGGACAATGCAATTAAAAGCCAATCAGGATGACCTCACATTTCTTCATCATTCAATGAAGGCAACTTCATTGTTAATTGTTCACACTTAAGGTAATTAGTCTGAGCAATGAGACATCAAGCAATGTGTGCAAACATGTGAATCAGTCCTTGGCTCAATGAATATAACCCCAAATGAAAGGGCATAGGTTCAAACAGTTCGCTCACCAGAAGGCCAAGATATTTAGTCACAATCACACCAGCAGCTTTGAAGTGTATGTATGTATGCATTTTTGTTTCTTGTGAGAGGATAGAGAGCAAAGAAAATGACATCTGCCAATCAGTTCTGTACCAATACTATTCCCACCAAGACAAATGCTACTAATCAGTGACATGTATTGAGAAGAAAGAAAAATATCAACTGGGCCTTTTTTGCAAATTGCCTGATCCATCACTCACTTCTGCAGTCAGCGTAGTCCCGGTGATCTGCTGTGTAGTGTTTGCAAAGTCTCCCCAGGATCAGCTTGTAGTGCATTAACCTCTGGATTGGTTTGAGCAGGAAAGTGTTGAGCGGCAAATAACAAACCTTCTGGAGTTCAAACTCCTTATAAACCATTTCCAGTTTCTTAATATGCTTAGTTGCTTTCTCTAGTTCTGTCAAGACCTCATCATGTTTCCGCAGGTAGCTGACAAATTCCTGGGGAATCAGATATGTCCGTGAGTAGAGACACAAAATTATTTCAAGCTACCAGTGAGACAAAGTTACCATTCTCAAAGTTACCTGCAGCACAGGACAAATTACTGGGAATTTTAAAAAAGCCTTCCCATCACCCTGCAACCATGTACATACTGCAATAAATATTAGAAATAAAGGAACAACTGGAATTTGCACACAACTTAACCTCAGAGAATGTGAAGTTAACAGATACAGTGCTAAATTTTGATCAGCAGATAAATGGGGCTGCCATAATTCTACCAGAAACCTGCTCCTAAACCTCTCCGGGTAGAAATCAACTATGTAGCCTAGACAAGATACACATTATCTTTTGCATTAACTAACAAATAAGGAAATTAAAAAAATTGGGCATTGTTTAATTTGATGCTGGAAAGATTTAAAAAACACCAGTTTCTTGGGGTCTTGGGAATTACTTGTATTTCCACACCTTTAGCATACACATATTTTTCAGCATGACATCACCAATCCGTTGATAGTCTCCTTTTGTGGAAGCACTGGAACGCCCTTCCCTATAATTGAGAAAGTGAGAAGTCAAGTGTTGGGAGAAAATGAATCCTAAGATTATTTTGCAGATGCAGCCAACAGATTAAAATTATTTTCCAGGATATCAACATTTGCACATAATGACAACTCGGATCTATAAACAATAAAATCTCCCCCTTTTCCTTTTCTGGATCTAGCTTCCCTCTGGTGCATGTTTCTAGAGTTCCTTCCCACTGTGCTCCTTCCTTCAGCAGAACTGTTACTAAACCACACAGACTTTCAACCTGGTCTGTTCAGTATGGTGTCCAAATTCAGTACAGTGCAACTGTTCCTCTTCTAACAGAAGTTGAAGGCAGGATTACAAAATTCTGGCCTACCATGATGTCAAAACATGGCCAGTAACTACAGAAGAAAGGAAGAAGCACCAAAATGTTGGCACCACCACTCTGCTTCCAGCCATTTATCAGCAAAATAACCATGCATCTTGTTTTGTGCCTTGGGTTAAAGACTGGTGCAGAATATATTAATAATAATAAACAAACAAACAAAAAAGAGAAAGGTCACTGTCAATACACTATACTGTACTATGAATCAAGGTTGTCCAAACTTTCCTTATATTGCACAAAAAAGTGAGGTAAAAGCATCATATTTTACATTTTTGAGCACTCATCAATTACATATTTTAAGTACAAGCAGCCTCTTATAGAGTGCTGACTCTCACAAACAAGATGGAGGGAAGACAAGCCAGAGCAAAAATTGGTCCATAAATTATTTACTGTGAAGGCTCAGGAGAGATGCAGCAATTTGGGGTTGTCTGTTGTCCATCTAAGGCAGGGTCAGCTCTCCAAAAAATTAAATCAAAACTGTGCAGACTTTGCTCCTCCCCTAGATCTTCACACAGCAAACACATAACAAACAAGACAAAAACCCTCACCAGAATGCTAGCCGCTGCTCAAGGTCTTTCAAGAAACTCCGGTGAAACTCATAGATAGGGTCTATGTTAGAGAAGAACAAGGACATAAGTCCTTCAGGCATAGCGTTCTCTTTGACTACTGCACTTCGGAACCACTGCCAAAAATGAGACAGAACGAAGTTGACTTTCTTTTCCCATTATGAACATGGTGAAAATTATTAAAGAATTCAGAAAAATAATGGAAACCATTTTTTATACATGTATGTCTATCGAACAGTTACTATTATTACCATTTCCATTTTACAGGCAGGGAACACAATCAGATACAGCCAAATTCTCTAATAATATGAGACACTTCCTGCATTCAGATGATCCACATACTCCAAACATGAAGCCAAGTTAAGGTGGCTTCGGTATAAGCAGGACTTGTACAGTACACTTCAGAATACTGGCTTGTTTGGAAGCCATCAAACACAGCTTCCCTGTCTGGATGTAAAAGGGAACAAGAGTTAACAGGATTTCCTAGCTTGTTTGCTTATTTCCAGGAAGGGCTAAGTGACTGCATGGGAGTCTGTAACACATGTATTTATTTAAATTATTTTACCCCACCTTTCTGCTTAAAATGAACCCAAGATGGCTTACAATATTAAAAGACAATATTTATATTAAAAGACAATATTTTAATTAAAAATAATAAGTATACAAATACTAAAAAGGATCAAACAAATACCACTCTGAGAAATGGTAAACAAAAGCAACACCAACAACACATTCAGAGGACATCAATCCATTCAAAAACCCCATCCAGGCAGCCAGAACAGAAAGCTTGCCTGAAGAGAAAGGTATGTGTATGCCTGCACAAGGACAGCAAAGATGGGGTGAGCCTGGCCTCCAGTTGGGGGCCGGATGGAGTTACAAAGTCTGGGAGCAGCAACAGAGAGAGCCATCTTCTGTGTTGCCACCAAATGCACCTGTGAAGGTGATGGGACAGAGAGAAAGGCCTCTTCTGATGATCTGTACATATTTAGCTGACATGTTAAGCAACTAAATAAAACTAATCTAAGAAAAAAGGGCCCATCCAGAAACAACAGACTGAAATACTTGTGAACAGAGTCTCCAAGTGTTTTTTCCCTTCAAAAGTTAAGACCAGCTTTTAGGGACCATGATCTGAGATGGGCCTGTTGTGCTGGGAAAGACGGTAATTCAGCCTTCTTCACTGGCACTGGTTCCCCAGTTTAAATCCTTTCCCAATGTGGCTATTTGCCCTGTTGGTAAACAGGTGTACTGTATATGGGTTAATTTCTTTGCCACACATCATGGTCCTGATATGAAGCCCCTTCCCCTTTTTTAAAATGTGAAAAGGCTACAATCATGTCTAGTTTTACCCTAGAAGTCAATAATATTTTGGATAAGGAAAGGGGAAGAGGAAAGGAAAGGAAAAGAAAGGGTTAAAATGTGTGTGAGCATAATGGCTCATGAAATGTTTCTAAAGTAACTTTCAGTACTGTAGTATGATCAACTGAGTCCCCTTACTGGGAGAAAGGCAGTCTATAAAGAAGACAGCGGGAGGAGAGATGTAGAAAATGAGATTTATTTTGCACATTTTGGAGGTATGCACAATTTTATAGGTTTCTCTTAAAAATAAATCTGCAAACACCCAACTATTAGGTGAACCTTGATATGAGATAATGAAGCGGCCAAGTTTGCAGCTAGCAAAATTTGCAAAGTTCTTAAGTGAACATACGCATATTAACCAGAAAGCAAAATCACCAAAAAAGCAACAACCCCAAAACAAAACAAAATGTCCTAGGAAGATGAAGGGGGCAAAATAAGGACCAGAAAGAAGAAGCAGAAGATTTTTAAATGTTACAGGAAAATATAGTTGATTCAGACACAAACTTAATTATAACATAATTAAGACCACTTTTTAGAGAGAAATCTGTTGCAGGAGCTTTCAGTTACTTACTACAGTTAGGACTTCTAGGTCCTTTAAGTAAGTCCGTTCAGTAGCAAGAATTTCTTTTGCAATGAAATATGCTTTGTCTGCTGGGTATCTCTGAAAAGAATAAGCAAATCCCAAATAAATGAAAAAGAAAATGTTTCTTATTAACTATGAACTTGGCTAAGCTGTAGTAAAATTCCTTCAGATGTAGCAACATAGAAGATAGCTAAAACCATGGTCTCCTACTGAGAATATCTTTAAAATTTGTTTTAAAAAGAACCTTTGAAGCAACTAAGCAAAAAAGGAACATCTGGAATATTAAACCCTGAACTTTTTCTGTGTGCAGGACATTAATAAATCACAGCTTGGTCTTAATCCAAAATCAGTTGTCTAAAACACATTATTACCTGTTACTGAAAACATATAGGCAAGAGCTGCTAGTAATGACCCATTAATAGATGAGATACAAATGAGAGTGTATATTTCAAACACTGTTGGGAGTGAACATTCTCATTCAGACTGAATGGAAATGGGAATCACAGGACTGTTTCTGAATGCACTTCTAAACTCCAAGTATTTTAGTACTTGCAGGAAGAATTTCTGATCCAATCTGGTGGCCTGACAAAGTCTCCTTCCTTCCTTCTTTCCTTGATTTGAAGGCAAGAGGTGGATAACTTGAGGATAATGGTGGCCACAGGTGGCAGAGAGATGCTTTAGCCCTTTCAATGTTATCATTATTTTTCCTCTGCTCAGTGAGAATGATAGTAATTAAGTCCAGCAATAACAGCAGGGTCACAGATCTGTCATCACGGCTATGTGGATGGTGTGGATTGTGAAATAAATGCTCTTCTCTCTCCCTTATTCTGGCCCATTCACCTGTGGCAGTACTGCTCATAACATGGCTGTTTCAGGATTGTATGCAGGCATGCTACTTTGAATGACTTCCATCAGGAACATTAGTGGAAACCACAACGTAATCCAATAAGATAGCAAATTGAAGTTCTGCATTTTATTATATTATGTCTATCAGAAAAGCCCTTTGCACAGAAATGAAACCATATTAAACACCTAGATTAAGATTCTAGGACATGATGCATAAAAAGCTAACTAGAAAATGGCCACATGACATTGAAATGGAGCCGCAAACACAGTTCTTGCAAAGGATAGAGAGCCCATAGAATCGATTCTCTTCCTAAGTCTGTGTAGAACTGAAGATAAACTATCCATCTTATATTTATGGCTGTTTCCCCCTCCCATATATGATTGCAGGACTCCACACTTCTTTTTAGACTGTTTTACATATACCATGATTGAATCATTGCTAATAATCAGTATGACTGCTAGTGTAGTATTCATATTGTTTGTACTGAAGAACTAAACTGACCTTGCTACCTACACATAAACCTGGCTCATTTCCATAATCCCAATTTTTAAAACTCAAGTATTTAATAAGAAAGTGTACCTTAAAGGAAATGATCTATTATTAGACCACAACATAGCATTTCAGGTTGGCTGGTAACTCAGTGAGTTAGATATCTGACTGCGGAATCAGAGTTTGGGAGTTTGATTCTCCGCTGTGCCTTCCAGAAGAAGAGCCAGCCTATGTGGCCTTGGGCAACCTGAATAGTCCTAGATGCCCCTCCACCAAGAAAGGAATAATAAACTACTTTGGAGTACTCTATATCTGGAAGGACCTGGTAGAGCTCACCATAAACTGGAAAATTTTGATGACACATAATTGTTACTATAGTATTTCAGAGGTTAAATCAAATATGAATTTAAGATATATTAAATCATACAGTTTACACTGCACTTCTTCCTCACAAGACAGGAAGGTCAGTTTATGTTACTGGGATAAACAAGTGGCATTAAGTTCATATCTGATCATTAAAAATGTTTAACAATGTGTATAATGTGGTGTATTTATTTTCCAGAGGAAAAAATTAATTGATTAGAAAGCCATGCAGGAAAACTATTATGTGTGGAGTGGTGCTAAGATATAGTTGTCCTTTTCAAAGTAATTGCAATATGCTACTGCGTGCCCAAACCGAAGTCCAAGAAAGCAACAAAAGCATGAACATCATGCAATGAACAGAAACAAAAGCTTCTACACTTTTTGTTAGAACCTTCATGTCCCCGTGCCTTACCTTCCGCCGTGCTTCATCCTCTTCTTCTACCCTGGCACCACCAACATCACTCAGCACTGGGCTCAAAAGAGGAGATGAGCCCTGGACAGGGATACTCATATTCCCATGAAACTGGGGATTTAAGGTCACTGGACTCTTCATTTTAAAGGAAGACAGCTGAGGACCTAGGCAACACACAGAGAAGAAAATGGGGAAGAGATTGATTGAGAGGTTAAGGACTGATGTTGCTTTTAACAACAATACAGTCAAATACCAAATCCTAACTGCACTTTCAAGCAACTGTTGTCTACTTCAAAATGAAGGAACTACTGTATGAAACATTTTAAAGCAGTCTCTGAAGACAGCAGTGATAATTTCATGTGTTCACACTGCAGGTAGCTGACATTCTAGACTTTTGAACAAGATACACCACATCTTTTCAATAAGATGCACTTCAAAATAATAGCAACTATAATCATTCATTTTCTTTTACTTTGTTTAAATACATCAAGGTATTTGTGCAATATGTTCCTGATGTGTAATTCTAACTCAAGCAAAGGGGGAGGGGAGATCTGGGCAGGCATTACACCTATGAAAAAAAAGAGAACAAGAAGCAGGAAAACATAAAATTGAAATTCCTATTTTCAGAATATAGCTGGATTCTGAATTGATGCAGGTACAGACAGGAAATTTCCTTCTAGAAATGCACAGCCCACACAATGAACTCCCTTCCTGAATCTGTGTACTGTAAGGTAAACTGTCTACACTATATTCAGGGTCATCCAGCTGCTTAAAAGTGTGGTGTGAAGACACAATTCTTTTGTCAAGAAGCTTTTGGGGGTGTGTTTGAGCAGTCATGCTCAAGATAATTGTGTTGTAGCGAGGGTTTTGAAGGAGCTGGAGGGCAGCCAAAGAAATTATTGAGACAGTATTTTAGCACGGTTACAGTGTTTAAGTTAACTATACAGTACGTATTTCATTCCTACTGCAGCTTAACCCTGAAACAAACAAGACATACTGAACAAAATACTGAACTATTTGTCTCAATATTAAACCTCAGAACGTTCCTTTTGCAAGTGAATGCTATTCTCAGTTTCACATGTACACATTCCAAGTATCTTGCAGAAAGAAGCAAAAGTACCGGAAATATCAAAACTATTATTTTAAGAGGTCTGGTTCTCTAGTTCTATATGCTTCCTGGAACACATACTTCTGAGTTACAGTCTTGCTATCTCTCATTTTCAAGACAAAACTGCTTCACAGTGGGTGCAACTTTAAAACTTCCTTATGACTCTTGCTTTTCATACAGTGGAGAAATGGATTCCTTGTTAAAGCTTTGCAGAGGGCCATAGTACACATGGCTCTTCTAATAGCACTAGTAAGCGTTCCTGCAGGTGTCTCATCACTCCCCCTCCAAATTCCATTCTGTGCAGTTTCAGTAAAACAGCACAACCCTTCGTGGTCTGGCCAACATTTATTCTTGATTACACTATTTATTTTCAAAAGCTTAAGCCAGACTGTCCAAAAATGTGCCCAAAACATGATCTTACGGGCACTGTAGCATATAGACATACTGTACTATACTTTAATGTTGATTTTAAAAGCACCAATTTCTAAAGTTCAAAGCGAGCCAGTTGCAACTCTTCTGCTGCACTATCGCTGAGAATTCACGGCTGGTCTTCTGACTCAGGAAGCAAAGCCTTTTAAAGATCATGATTGCAGCCAAGAAATGGGGAGGCAGCATGGAGAGGAAGTTTTAGCGCATGTGTTCAAGTTAACTAACTCAGGAAGCTAAACAATGTTACACTTAGTCACCTGGAAGAGATTCAGCATATCTGGCATGAAGTTAACTATTAACATTCTTCAGCCAAACTGTCGGATAGTGTATCAGTTCATGCAATTTCCCACCCCTTTCTGACTCTTTAGTATCTGCAGACTCCAGGAATAAGACCCTCTATTTGTTCCTACTGGTTATCTACATTAAAAAAAAAAGAGTGCACGTGTCGCCCAGATAGGTGGGGTATAAATCAAATAAATAATAATAATAATCGTCCAGAGAAAACATGTGAGCAAAGAAGTGTCTAGCAGTGCTCTGCATTTTTTTTCTTTTTACAATGAAAGATACTTCTCTATTTGAAAAAAAGTCCTTTAAGTTTGAAGGCTATATAGAGACAGTGTGAGGGGGTTGTTGAGCTGATATTTCCCAAAACTCAGGGACCCATGTAAAGTACTGAAATATTAAAAACACTGCCTCGTAAAGTGCCTTGCCACTGAAAATAAGACACGTTACTCACTGATTCTATTGAGGTTTGGATAGATATGTGACAACTGAATAAAGATGCACTTTTAAACAAGGGATGAAACTTGGTTTAAATAAGCATGAAAGCATAAATAAATTTCAAATGTGTTCTCAGCACTGATATACAATAAAATACTTCCTGATACAGAAGAATTAGTAACTGAAATTATTAGCAACTTGTCCTGACCAAAACAGAATTTGAGATAATTTAGAGAGCATGCCTGCTCTATAGTTTGGATACATGGTTCACACATCACTTTTTAGAGACAACTGGGAAATAGTGTGTTTATGTCTAAGCAAATACTGTACTAGTATGAAGACTCATTAGCTGTTGCAGAAGATACTATCTTGTCCTGAAGATTTAACGTCAGTTTTCTAGGTCTTTAAAAATGTCTGTCTAGACGATCTTAGCATGTAGAAAAGCAATTCGCTTCCCCCAAAAGAACTGCATTTTAAAATAGGTATCCCAAGTAGTTTTTCAGCAGCAGCTTTTGGAAAACAAAATATATTGTTTGTCAGAGAAGAACTATACTGTACAAAAAGGTTATTCAGAACTTGCTCTTCCCACAGTTGAAGGAACAAAAGTAGAACCAAACATTTTAGTTCTTTTTTGATAGTCTGTATCAGTGGTGGTGAACCTTTTTGGGCCCGAGTGCCCAAACTGAGAAAAAAAAACAACAACGGGCTGCAGCGGAACCGGAAGTGGCAGCGGAAGGGAGAATCCCTGGCACGGAGGGGCCTTGAGACCCCACTCTGGATCTGCCGCCAGCACCAGCTGCTCCGTTGAAGCACTGGCACTGCGACTGCAGCTGCCTCCTGAGGTTTGGCGGTGGGGGGGAAGGAGTAGCAATCTGGTGACTTATGGCTCACGTGCCCGCAGAAAGGGCTCTGCGTGCCAGCTCTGGCACACATGCTATAGGTTCGCCATCACTGGTGTATATCCTGATAAGTATTTATCCTCCTAAAATATTTAGAGAAGGCAAGGTACTGCTAAATGAAACACTGTTAAAGCTAGGAAAGTTCAGCAGTGTTACAGATCAACATCATAACTGAAGGCTAGTTGAGGTCACAATAAACAATAGATCAACATTTTTTATTTCATCCCCTTCTACAAAGAGCTGTCCTCAAACTCAGTCATGTATGTGAGTACTTCTAAAGATCTGCTTTTTTATTAGACAAGAACATAAATAAAATGCACTGGGAAATTGTCGAAATGTATTAAACACTGTGGTAAAGCCAGTATTCTCAAAATGATTACTAGACTCTCAAAATGTTAGTATGTAAGAAACATGAAGGTTCCACTCATTGTTAAATGCACAGAATTTGCTAGAATTGTAAGATTCTTCCTTCCTCTCTTCACCCTAAATTTCTTCAGAGAATCTCTCAAGTATCACAAATGGAGCTGGGTTTTGGCAAAGGGTGATAGGGAAAGGAAATTCATTCCACCCATCATTGCTCATTTTGTTGGCATGAAATCCTCTGAGTCAGATTTCATAATCATTCCTAGTAATGGAGGCCAGAAACATCAAACTACAGAAAGAGGAAAAGCAAGGGATTGGTGAAACTCTACCCTAGAGAATGGGATCATTAAAGTTAGACAAGACCTCCATTCCTTAATGACTTTAGAATAGGGACAAGGGACAAAATCATATCAGTCCCATTGTTGCAAGGATGAACAAACTATATTCAAAGCAGCAGTTTTCAAAAAGGTAGCATTAATCAGCTGCAGGCAAACAAATACAAAAAGTATTACAGTTCCCTTAACAAATTGCAGCACCAAATAATTTATTTCTGCAAGCAATTTCATATTCACAAAATCTGTGACGGAAATTACTATTAGCCTTAAAGGTGTCACATTACTTTGGTTTTTGTTGTTTATGAAACAGGCAGTATGTTTATGTGATTTTTTAAAACACAAATCTTTTTTAAAAGCTATTCATTTCCCAGCCCATCTTGACAGGAACAATCAAAGTAAACCTAACAGGAGTTACTTTGATGGTTTATATAAAAACGCTATGAGTATTTACTTACCTGTAATGGTCATGCCTCAAGAGCTAGTTTTGTGCATTTGTATTTACAGAACACAGCCCTATGGCACAGCTCCACAGAATTTTAATAAGAGCCTCTCAAAGAGGATATCAAACTGTGAAATATGATTTTGAAAGAGGAGCTTCATATTATAAAGAGAACACAGTATCTTGAGCAAAGATAGTAGTATCTTTAATATCCTTCATACTACTGTATTAAAGGTTCTTGATGATACAACTCACAATAGAGGAAACTGCTAAAAGTGATACCAGTTTTCCCTCTTGAGGATTAATTAGACTTGTGAAGATTTTTTTATCATTAAGTGATATTTAAATGGTACAGGCTTCACCACTGTAGCATTGTACTATTTTGGATCTGGATACTTTTAACAAATACTGTACAACATGGTGAGGATAATTATATCCAGCTAGATTTGTTTAGGTGATAATAACACCAAAAGGAAAGAAAACTAATTCAGTCTGAAGGCCGATGCTTCCCAGGACTCTCATTGACATCAGGGAGCAAAATCTGACAGGTTTAGTAATGAAATGAATGCTGCTAGAAAGGAGCTGATTTTAACATTCAAGTACAGTGCATAAGCTGCACTAAAGTGGGGCTTCTCAAGAGTGCAGTACTGCTGCCTGAACATAAAGTATTTGAGGAGAGTACAGTGTGACCTGATTATAATGAATGAGAGTTGATCACTTTTCAGTTCACTATTGTATTATAGGCTGTACTGTGTGACATTAGGAAGTATGGAGAAGCTAACCATGGTTGGAGTTGCAAAATCCGTTTAAATATATATATAAAAACTGTAAAGCAGTTTTAACCTTAGGCCATCTCTCCTATCAGGCACAG